TAAAAAAAATAAAAATAATTAAAAATGCATAATATATAAAAACCAATAAAAGTTAATAAAAATAAATTAAAATAAATAAAACAAAAAAAAAATAAATATAAATGAAATTAATTAAAAAATAAACTCTAATATGTCTAAAAAAATCAGAAATCCAGATTTTTTTGTTGAGCTGCTAAAAAAAGTTCTTGATTGCCTAGAAAAATATATTTAAAAATATATATTAAAAATTAACAAACAAATTTTTAATATAAAAATAGCAATTGCAATTTATTATAAGTAAACCTGTTTTATTTTTTAATTTTAGAGTTTCTCAAAATATTTAAAAAAATTTGGTAAATCAAATGCCTATTCATCATCAGATGTTGTTTATAACAGTTCGCATTTCTGTATCAACCATTCTCTTCATTTTCTTCATACTCTCTACCATCAATACAATTTGCTTCTCCTTTTTCTTCTTCATCTTTATATAGTTCTTCTTTATTTTCATTTTCAACTTCCTCATGAAGTAAGCCTGTTCTAGTAGCGTTATCGCTTGACCCTGGCAACTTTTACAAAATTGATTGCATTTTTATTTATTTTGATGTACTTTTATTAATAATATTTAATTTTATTTATTTTTATATATGTACTTATTTTTATTTGTTTTAATATTTTTTTTTTATTTTTTGCAATTTTTTTATTAATTTTATTTGTTTTTATTTATATATTTATTTTTAATTATTTAAAACAGGTTTACTTATAATCAATTGCTATTTTTATATTAAATTACATATATGTTCAAAAATTGTAATGAAAAATTTGTTTTCCTACGACCACTTAGGAAAGTAACACATATCACACTATATAGTCCTATGGAAAGTGCCCTATATCACACGCGTATGAATAAGAATTTACTTTCCACCCGTGTGCGAATATGCTACTTTCCGCATCAGCTGTCACAAAATGTCAAACGCATCATTTCTATTTTGATCTATATTAATACTAAAATCGATATGATTGTTAAATTATTGAAATTGTTGTAAATTAGATCCTAGATATTTTTCTTTAACGATTATTATTAAAATAATTTTAAAATAACTAAGTTATGTTTGCTTTTTATTCTGATTAAACACATAACCGATTAGATCATTCAATTGATGAAAGGCCTATTAGGTCAGGTGGTAGAGTATCAAACTTTATCAACTTTGCCATTTGAGACCTGGCGAGCGACCGCGTTAAAATCCTTGCAGGGGCAGAATTTTTTTTTGTTTTTTTCATTTTTTTTGTTTTTTGTTTTTTTGAATAAATACAATTATTGTTGATTATTTTTTAAATACATTTTAATTATTATAATAACCGGGTTTTACATTTTTTGATGAAATTATTTTGTGGTCGTAGGAAAAATATTGTACATCACTTGTGTGAAAAGTGATTTTCCACACTCGTGTGATAGTCGCACTCGGCTTATGCCTCGTGCGACAATATTTCCCACTCGTGTGAAAAATGTCACTTTCCACACTCGTAATGTAATATACTAATATTAATTTTTAATATATTCTCTAGGCAATCAAGCACTTTTTTTAGCAACTGAAGAAAAAAAAATCTGGATGTCTGATTTTTTTAGACATATTAGAGTTTATTTTAAACAAAACTGTTGAATTATTTTTTGTCTCATGACTTATTTTTTTATTTCTTTTTATATTTTATTTATTTTCATTTATTTTTATTTATTTTTATTTATTTTTATTTATTTTTATTTATTTTTATTTATTTTTCTTTATTTTTATTTATTTTTATTTATTTTTATTTATTTTTATTTATTTTTATTTATTTTTATTTATTTTTATTTATTTTTTTTTTATTTTTTATATATTTTTGTTTTATTAATTTTATTTATTTCATTTATTTTTATTTTTAATTATTTTTATTTATTTAATGGAACTTCAAGTGGGGACTAAACTGTCGCGATGTCGCTTTTATTAGTTCACTCCTTTTATTTTTCAAGTAAGGCAAGCCATAATAATTTTACTTCAAAATTTATTTTACTATATATTGCGGTCTATTCTGTAACAATTCCTTTATATTTAAACGGATCTTTAAAATACATTAAAGAAATCTGTTTAAATAATGACAGAAGTAAATTAACGAATACAAATATACTTTTAAAGGCCGCCAATATTTTTAAAGGCCGCCAATATTTCTAAAGGCCGTTAAATATAAAGGAATTGTTACAGAATAGACCCCAAAGTATAATATATTGAAAATTTATAAATTAAAATTGTAATAACTTCAAAGCACAAATAATACAAAAAAACTAATTTTTCTGAAAAGAAAGTTTATATTTTTCTGAGGAAATAATAAAAAGAAACTAAAAAATCATTGAATTTTTAGCTTGCTATGATTTTTTTGAGTCATATATTTGGAAAAATATATAAAATAAAATAAGAGTTGTTTTCTTTTTCTGTTTTCATCATTTTATCTTCAGCTTGAAGGCCAAATTTTTAATGTTTTCGTCAGAATTTCTTTAGAATTTTTCTTTGGGTCAAATGAAAAGCAATGAGTTAAATTTCTCCGTTTAGTTTTTCATTTTTGTGTTATAGTATGACATCGTTTTTCTTATTTTTGCATTACTTACAGCTTTTCATAACCAATCATTGAAACGCTCTCTAATTATCGATTGGAGAGTGGGGATAAAGAAGTTAAAATAATAATTCAATGTATTTTTAATCAACTGTTAATATTTTTAAGAGTAACCGTAATAAAATCATGTAACGAAAAGGTTCAACAATCGTCAAAGGTGGCGAAAGAGCATTGACTCAACCAAATAATTCGACTAGTAAAAGCGATTTTTATCACTTAAACAGTTAGAATTCTCACTATTTACAAACAAAAGAGTTCAAAGTTCCCATCTTGTAAATTTAAATTAATGACTTCGATCCTTGCTCAGACTATAATACATGAATCACTTTCGCAAAATTCTCACCATTCTTTAATTAGCAAAAATTATGCATGGACATTTTTAACTTCTTTACCTCTTGGGTTACGTATTCGCCCAAAGTTTCTAAATTATTACGAGTTTGATGGATGTCTATACGGGTTGTCCTTCACCGTGGTGTGAACACAGGAAATATTAAGACTAATATTATATAGGGTAATTGCGTAATTGCTAGATATTTCAATAATATTACCAGTAGTACCATTTTGTTTCTAGATGCCTAATTGTTCTTTTTTCAATTTTGGTTCTTTTTGTTTTTAATTTTTGGTTCTTTTTTTATTTTTGGTTATTTTTTTTTCTTTTTTGATCCTTTGTTTCTTTTCTTTTTCTTTTTTTTTTTCTTTCTTTTTTCTTTCCTTTTTTTCTTTAATTTTTTCTCTTTCTTTTCTTTTTATTTTTCTTTTCTTTTATTTTTATTCTTTTTCGTTTTTTTTTTCTTTTTTGTTTTTTGTTTTGTTTTTTTTTGTTCATTTGCAGACGATAGGAAAAATTAGTTCGTTTGGCATGAGTAAGGGTTATGATATTAAATATTCCGATGACGGTGCTCATTGATTAAAATCAGACGTTTTGGCACAATTCCTAGACCAAACGAAAACGATTCCAATATTAAACTGGTTTTTGAACTTGAAATAGTTTGATGCCGTGCCAATTTGAACATATCTATGCATAATTACATTACCAAGTGAACAATTGGAAAGCATATTTCAAAATATCCGGCTACAAACTAGGTTATTATGAGTAAAATACATAATGGATCGACAAGTCTCATTATCTCTGCGTACTTCCGGCTGTTGGCTGTATGCTATACACAGAGATGTTTTATCTTCAAACTTTTAGTTGACCGGTAGTTTTTATCACATCCGAATATACGTTTCACTGCATTACTGTCATTTTGTATAGGTAAAGTTGAATATTATTATCTTCTTTGTTAGGTAAATTTAAGTTTTACTTTACGATAAAAATGATAATAAAAAATGTTTTTCCATAGTCTTTATTTAACTTAGTGTCTATAAACTATTCAAAATTTTTATATTTTGTAAAATTTCCATATTAATAACTTTGTGCACTTGCCAAATTTTATTTGCTTTATACTGCCACATCATCATGTACATTTATGTATGTTTTGAAACAAATATATATTTATTTATAGAGGATTTATATAAAATAACTAAGTACCTGTATTTATTATAAAATAACTATCTACGTTTCTATAATTTGTAGAGGTTAAATCTGGCGAATAGGGCAGGTGTTAAGAAAATGTAAATTACATATTTTGAAAATGTTTTCCCTTTTTTTGCGGTTAAAGACGACTCAATTAATAAGATAAGTCAGGAATTTTTAAACAAACAATTAACATTGTCTTATGGGGATTTATAAATGTAGTTTGATTGGAAACATCGAGGTAGAATCATATAGAATGAAGTAGAGACGACTTAAGCACTATTTTGCGATATGACAAGCAAACGCACTTTGAGTCGTATTTTGATTAATTTGAAGTTTATAATTTTATATTTAAAGATTGACGGAATGAAAATGTTTTTATATAATTTAAATCACGCTATTTTAAAAAAAATTGTATTTATTCTCATCAAAACTAACTCCACTAGCTCAAGTTTACATATATGACGTAAAAGTGTAATGCAAAAGTGCAGACACTTTTAGTATGGTCATAGCATCTCTTTATTCTATATCAATAATTGGAAAGATTCGTATGCTCTGCCCTACTTTGTGACTTCACGCCTTGATTATGTGCGATGCACAAAATAACGTGATTTAAGTGATTTTAAGCAGGCACATTGTTTTACGGATCTACTGACGTGTTGACCTCTCTTTTTAGCTACAGGCTTTCGCGAAAACCTCTCGCTCCCTTGCACTCACTCAGAATAGTGCACCACAGAGACCCGATTAGCCAGAGCGCAGTGGCGTACCAAATAATAGAGATTTATATTTTTATGTTATTCATTTTGTTACCAATTGAGAAACCGCCCCTGCGGTCTTACGCTCTAATATAATTCTTTTGTTGTAGGTGCTTCCCCGGCTAGAATCGCGCCAAAAAGACCACAGTCTTCCGCTGATCACGGTATTGTTTCACCAGCTTCTACAAGTCCACCTACAAAGGTAAATATCACTATAATTAATTATTTATAGAATTCACAACGTTTTTGTATGTGGTTTTGACAATAAGAGAGAAAAAGCAAAAATATATTGTTGACTTTATTACTAAAAGGAAATGCTTTTTCTCGCTTATATATTTGTTTTTATTTATATATATTTTTTGTGTATTTTTGTGCAATGTGCTGTGATGTTTTCGTTCATTTATGCCATGAATCATTAAAAAAAAAATGGAAATTTATTTTGAAAGAGGGGGGTTAGCTTTACATTTTATACCTCTTATATCAAAATGATTTGAACCTTCCACTGATCAGGTAAAGGTACCTTTTAAAAATTGCAATTCTGGTAAAACTAGAGAAAAATTGTGAACGATTATTAAAAATTTATAAAATACATTTTTTTAATACAATACATTTATTAACAATACTATTTTTCTGTAGTTTTTTCTATTAAGTTTATGTTTCAGGTTTTTATTTTCATTCTATTTATAATTCTTTCATCTTTTTCATCTATTGCTTTCTATTAGCTTCTTAATTATATGAAATTTCATTAAGAGTATTTGGTGCCAGTTTGGTTAATACGTTTTTTTTTTAATTTGTGAAAAAAAGTTTGCTTACTTTTTTATTTGTTTTTATTATTGATATTTTTCATATTTTCAAACTGTTAAGTTTACAAAATGTCACACAAACATTGAGTTGTATCCCGTATACACCTCATCGTGACATATCTTGCATATTAATTGACAAAAAACTGTTAAAATTGTCCTGATCCTCTTAATGAACATTCTTTGCTTTTATATTCTTTATTTTAATATTCTTTTGTTTATCACTTAGCAACTATGTATGTGCTTTAAGTGGTTTATTGCTTTTAGTACTCTCTCACATTCCTACAGGGTGATTCAATTATCAATTTGCCTCTATAGTAAATTTAATTTTAAGTAAAAGGTGTTGAAGGTGGATTTTTTAAACTTATAATGCATAAATTGATATAACTGTCTTTTTGATCAAAAATTTGCGATTTATAATTGATTATTTATATCTCTACAAAATTATTTTGATTCTAAATGCGTATTAAAAAAATATTTTCAATCATTGGAATTTTTATGAGTTAAATTTGTTTCTTATTGTTCAAAATTGTGCATAAATATAGCATGATTTACTGAAATATTAAATTTGTCAATAAAATGATGCACATGCAACTAACAATACAAGAAAGTAATATTGATTGCCTAGATATCAGTAGTTTCTTACCAAAACACAAAATTAAAAAAATATTGTATGTAACACGTTAAGAAATCAATGGCGGCTGGTAAGGGAGGACGCTGGGGCGCCTCCCTGCGAAGGAGCAGGAGTCATCTGCAAATTAGTATTTCCATATACTTAATCAGTAATTTTATTTAACTCCTTCTAAATTTATTAACAATAAAATAATCAAACACAAAAAAATACAATAATAAAGTTTGTGAGGGAACAATTTAATTAGCTACGGACGAGCCGTACCTGTACAATATGAATAATACGGTTTTTCTTCTATCACATAGTTTGCTTTGGTTTCAATTTAAAAACCGTTCTGACATGCGCAGTGATTTAAAAGTGTTTTGGTTAATTTTGAATCAGCTCAGAACCGGAGGTGACGTAAAATTCTGTGTTTTGATTCACTCATGGAATTATTTTAGGACTATTCTAGAACGGTTTAAACAGTTCTTACTTGTGACTAGGAATTATTTTAAATTTATTGGTTCGAGCATGCGTATATTGAAGAAATCTTATGAAACGACAACTGACAACCAATTATTGATTTATTTATAGGTTTTGAGCTGTTGATGTCGGCGTTGGTGATTTGAAATTTGGATTTTATTGGTGATTTTTTTACGTTTTTGTTTCTATTAGATCTTAATAACTTATAAAAAAAACCTCTATAAATTTAAACAAAAACAACTATAAATATTAGTACTTCCATTTTTTAATTTTGATAACATACATCCACTTCACTATTCCCATTTTACTATAGTAATTTTCTAAAAATAAAATTAAAATGCATTTAGGTAGGTTTTCATTGTACGATCGTTTTCGCCGATTTGGGGCTCTTCAGGCAGAAGCAGAAAGTTTATGTTTAATTAGCTAAACCACCCTCCCCACGTTACAGATACAGACTGTGTGCCATATAGCCTAATCTTCGATCATAGTTTAAAGTACTTTGTCTAGTTTGGTGTTTTGTAGTAAACTCAATAGACTAGAAAGTAGCTCTCCTTTTTAGCTAATTCCCCTTGATTTTCTCTCCAAAAGTAAAGAATCTCAGTCTTGATATAACTTAGCAGTGACACAATTAACGTGTACTGTAGTTCCCTCTTCTTCCTGACAGAATCGACATAAAGTCTTTTCCGCGAGGATGTTTGTTAATCTTCCAAACAAAGATTGGTTTTCATGAAATGAGCATCTGTAATTATGGGAATTTTTGAGGTCGCATAGTTTGAATACGACATTTAAAATTAAAAATACAAAATGGATCCAATATGGCGCCCGAAAATATTTAAAATTGCTTGTTTTACATAAAAATAAAACTAAAGAGTTTTGGGGTCGCTGAATCAACTTAAATCTATATTTAATCAATGGCTAATTCATGTGCACATAAAGGGGCATTTTTTTAAACATGCAGGATTTACCCATACAGTAATATAATCAATGAGCTTTGCATAGCATTTTTGCGTCCTTGCATTTTATAAGCATAAGATCAGAGTTATCAGATAAAGAAGCCTCTTTTGTACAAAGCAGTATCTTATGCAAGCTAAAAATCAATTAATTATAAAGAGGAACATTCTCAAACCTGTACTAGTATAAGATCAGAGTTAACAGATAAAGTAGCCTCATCTGTACATGTCTTTGTCTATAATGCAGAATTTACACATAAAGTAGTATCTGCCCTCATCAAAGTTTTGCGAAATTTGCACATTAAGTAGCATTTTTCGTTTTACAGACGGATTTTATGAATAACTGCACCGTTAACACATAAAGTAGTGTATATTTATTTGTCGTCTAAATGCAGACATTTACATATAAAGCAGTATCTTCTGCAAGCTAAAAATCAGTTAAATAAAAAGAAAAATATTATTTTCCTACCTGTGCTCTGAATTCCTTCATTTCTTTTTCAATTTAAGTGTATTTCTGAGACGATTTGCGTTTGCGATAGTTTTTACCCATGTTTTTATAATCTCTGGAATGTAGTTGGTCTGAACAATGTGAATCACGCGACACAAAAAGTGGTAATGAGTGATTTAGGCAGGCAGCGATAGAGAATAATATAAACTTTTAAATCTGAACATGTGGGTCAACGGCGTAACATAGGTATACTACATGGTTATCTTTATTTCCATTAACAAGGATGTGAAGCATAATTAAAAATGGTACGACCTATTTAATATTTTTGTCTTCGTATATCAAGATCTGCCATATTAAATCCGCCATTTTGAACTTTGAAAATCTGATAACAGATCCGTAATCGGTGACACAAAAAACCCCAAGATACCAAATTTCTTGGCAATTGGGAAAAGGTTTTAATCACGGTCCGTCATATTAGATCCGCCATATTAGTTCAGTCATATTAGATCCGCCATATTAGATCCGCTATTTTGAGTATTGTATTTTTGACATCGTATTCTTAATCAGCGACTCCAAAAACCCCAGCATGACAATATTCAAGCGAATCCGGTTGACTTTAAAAATCCGTCCGCCATATTTTATCCGACTTATTTTTCCACTTTTGGCCAGAAAATAGGTGAAAAATCGCTCAGTGCAATGGCCTAATTCTGAGTTAGTAGATGCTCGATGAGTTTTGGCAATAATCCTTTTAAGAACTGTCTGGCCATCTGACGAGCTAAAAGAGGCCAATCAATTTATCTGGATGCACAATGCGCCTATTGAGTGCCGTGGGGAAAATCAGTCTTCACACGTTTCAGATACAGATATCTATGTTATGATACATTTTCTAGACAGATTAGTATGGAGATCAGAAATTTCTTCTTCAAATGATCACTGTAATCCTACCACTAATTAAGAATCAATACAAAACTCATTTTCCTCTTGGAAAAAGTATAATAATTAAAAAATCCTTAATTAAAATTACACCAGCACGCCTATGTCGACATAATTTAAAATAAAATTTATAGTATTAGTTCAAAAAAAGTGTTTGTTGCTTAATGGTTGTGAAATGACGTAATTTTTAATTGTTTTGAACTAGTTTGAGAAAACAAAGGTACCAAACTACGAATTATATGAGTAAAAACTTCAGTATGTGTACAATTTAGAACAATAGGAAATAACTCAATTTACAAAACGTTTTGTCAACGATTTTACAAACGGATGCAACACCTAAACATTTTCACGTATCAATTCTGAAGCAAAACAAAAATAGTAAGGTACATACTTTGCTTATGATAATCCAATAAATAATATTGAATTACCTTGTAGTTAATCAGCAGGCTTGTTTTTGCATGTTTACTATTTCTGTAGTCATTGTATAGTTTATTGCATGGCAGTAATGGTACTCGTACAAGGTGTCTGATATAATTTAGCTGGATAGAAATCGAAACTCTATTGTAAGTAGAACATAATTTTCACATTAACGCAAAACGCAATAATGACATGTATTTGTATTAGAAATAGTAATTACACACGGTGACCCGAGTACACGCTACAGTTCGACAAAGTTCAATTCTACTTTTGATATAAGATATTCAGTTTGTAGAAAGTAATTTATGCGGTTTAGCTATGGATTGAGTTCACAATTGGTATATATTTTTAAACTTTAATCACGTAAAATATACTTTTAATATCCACTGATCCACAAAATAGTTATTTATGCAACAAGTGTGTAAAGTTACACTTTTTCAAAAAAGGGACTTTACACACGAGTCGCATACAATATTTTTTCTACTACCGTACACATAATCCACTAATATTAGAAATATAAAAGTTACTTTTTTTCACTAGTGAAAAAAAGTACTTTACTTT